TCGGGAAGATAACTGTTAGGGGGAAAACACTGCTATCCAACGGTAGGTCGACACTGGATCTCATTATCCAGCGGAGGAAGATCACCCCACCTCCGAAGGAGAACATGGACTACCAATCAGTATCAATCAATGATCATTCCCGATCATCCATCGCCCGGATTGCCCTCATATTTCGCCATCCTCCCATCGTCAGCACGCCCTCCCAACCCACCGCCTCCTTCCCCTCCTCTCGTCTGTCACTACAACCCCACCCCGCCTCGCTCCCCGCCGTCCCCGCTCCCTTCGCACCGCGCGCACCTCGCGCGTGCTCTGCAGCTGGGGGTGGGGGGTGAGTCGGCGGGCTCCGTCCGCCTGGCTGCCACCTGGCAGCGCGCGGCCGCGGACGCTCCGTCGCAAGGCGCAAGGCGCGGGCGGCTGTGGTCCGAGTGCGCGGAGGTGGAAGCGGGCGGACGACCGCCGCCGCCAGCGATACAAGGGGGCGCGCTGCGCGGAATTTGCTTCTCGATGCAGCGAGCGGATCGCGGCAGGGGCTGGCTTAATGAGGCGTTTCCGTTCCTCGCTGTTTGTCCTGTTCTGCACTGTTCTTCGTGTTTGTCACCGGAATGGACTACTCTGAGAACTAAGTCGTGCGTTTCCTTTAATTCAATTCTCTTCTCAGGATATGCAGACCGTTAATTGTACATCGATGACATCATCTGTGTCTTAAATTTTAAGTTCTAACACTATGGTATAAAAAAATCCATACATTACTAAGAAAGGGGCGTCCGAGGATCGTCGCTTAATTTAGCAGCTCTCTGCAGGGGAAATTTAGCAGTCAACTGCTCGGATAGGTAGTTTTCCGTGGTTTCTCTGATCAACACCAGGTGAATGTCGATATAGTAACCTACCAAACGGGCCACGGACCGCGCTCCATCTTTACTTCCTCTTCCTAGCCCTACTCTTACCTTTACTTGCACACGTTTGGTAAGTAAGTAAAGGGTAAGAGCAGCATTAAAACTTAAAATACTGCAAATGTAATACAAAAACACTATAAAAAATCCAAAACTTATTCTTAATGTTCAGTTTTCGAGCTAATACTCCATTATTTTTTTATTCGCAACAGAAGACGCCGTAATAATTAAAATTACAATCAACGCTTCCGATAAATTGCTTCATTGCTACATATTTTGATCAGAAAGCATTTCATCAACAATATTAATGACATCCAGGTTCACAGAAAATTGTTACCTACAAGAAACTAACAAAAATCATCAGTTGACCTCAGTAAATCCTTCCCCTTACTAGTATTAATGCAATATTTGAATGCTTTGATGTGTGAATATTGTCATGCCTTTCACTCAGAAAATAGAAGCTTTACATTTTTTTTCACAATATAAAACAAAACTTGTTGAAAGTTATGTTTTTATTTTGTATAAATTAGTACAGAAAACTGTTTTCATTGTTTATAATGATTCTAATAACTGTAGTAGACAAGTGAGATGACGAAATGCTAAGTTGCTATATGCATTTCGATTACAACTTCCTCCTCAAAATATACATTCTACATAAAGATTGCCGTACCACGGAAGAAAAGAACAGAAATATGCAAAGAAGAAAACAAATGAACAAACATTTATTTTAAGCTGTCGCATTAATTCTCCCTATATGGTAAAAGAGGATAAAATAATTGCCAAATGCCCTAAAAAATTTCCATCATGTCTCGCTATATTTTAAGCTAATATGAGATAAAGTGTAGCCCGGTCAACATCCCTCAAGTTCATCCAAGTAACTACTTTATTTCATTATTTAAATGTCCATTTACATCGCTAATCTTCATTACATAAAAATAACGTGATATTGCAGGGCAGTTTGCAAAGTACGTTATTACAGTAGCGTAGACATGTATGTTTAATTTATGACTTCCCACATGAACATGCATTTAAAACTGTATTTTGTGAGCTTTACCTTCTATGATGATCCAAAATGTATATTCATTTCGAAGGGTAGAAATAAACAAGATTGAAACCTAATATTGTCTGATTAATCACACTACATAAACAAGGAAGGGAAAATTTTGATAGCTTATTAAACTGTATAATTAAAAATTTTAGTGAAAGAAGCGTAATAATATTCTTTTAAGCTTCACTGAAAATTTAAGTTTTGTTATGTCATTCTCTATCTATAAACTACATTTATACACTTTTTTGGGAAATTGCTCCGGGAATTTGTAGTACTCACAATCACCCTTTTTTAAGTTATCGTCTTATCTGGAAGAATAGATATTTAAATGCGAATTAAGTTTTCAAAGATTTTTTAAAGTAATCAAATCTCAATCCGTCAAAAGAATTCAATCTGAAACTTACGTGCAAACTAAATGCTTATATGTTGTCGGATATTATCTTTGATATATAACATTTCCTCCTACAATATACAGTTTATGTATTAAAAAAAATAACTTTATGAAGAAAAAGTTATATTTGTTTCGGCAGAGACTGTTGTAACTTAAGAAGCTTCTTTTATTTTATAATGTACACCACTTCATCAAATCTGCTATCCATTTACTGTTTTCCGTGGGCCATGGAAGTAGATAGTAACTGGAAAAGTTTGAGAGAGACGACTCATAACATCGTTGAATCCTAAGCAGGTATATATCAGTGCGTACTAAAAAATGTACAAAGGGTTTAAAAAATGCAGGTAAATCAGTGTGGGGAAAATATGGAAACGCCTTCTTTTGTAGCTGTAAATTCATTAAAGAGACATTTTGATTGTGTATTGTATTACCAAGTTTACCTCTTGGTAGTCGACCTTTGGAATTTCTATATTATTGATTTGCAATGCCAGCATAAATTGAAAGAAAACTGTGCAGCCTCCGGTCATGGGAGAAATGTCTATGATTTTGTTAGATACCTAGGAACCGGATATAAATCTAAAAACTTTGGAGCAGTTTCGATTTTTACAAAAATATGCAAATATTTGGTTGTGTTAATTCCGCCTATTCTGATAGTGCGCCTAGTGGCTGGAGCCCCGTACTCAGTGCGTCGCTGCTTACGGTCCTGCTGACGTCAAGCGACAGCAAATTTTCAAGGATGCTGCCGCCCGCCATTAAATCTACGCTGCCTACGAACGAACTCTTTTGATATTCTTAGTGGCTAAAGAGCTGTTCTACCGTCTAAATTCTCTATCATATTATTGCAGTATAGCAGACGTATGTTTTATATAAATATAAAAGTATATTATTTGTTGTTCTTGATCAGTGTATAAATTGCTTTTTGGAAAATTATTTTGTGTGATTTTGCTGAGCAGCATTTTTGCAGGAGCACGCGACTCGTAATAAACAATTCCCTGCAGAGTTTCTAAAGTTAAACGCAAAAGGCTTGCATATTTACCCGTTTCCTCTATCCCTGCAACCTGAACATAAGCGCATTTCCGTGAAAACACACCGCGCGCAGTCGCACATTCAGCGTGGCTCAGAGAGCGGCGCGCAGCTGGCGAGCGGGGAAAGGCGGGGTCGAGCTCGTTGCAACAGGGCGGGGCGGACTGGAGCGGGGAGGAGCTGGCCTGGGCGGGGTAAGAAGAGGAGGGACGGAGCGGAGTGGGGTGGAGCAGGCCGAGGCGGTGTAGGAAGAGGAGAGGCGGAGCGGAGCGGTGCAGGGCGGGGTGGGGTAAGAAGAGGAGGGACGGAGCGGGAGAGGGGCGGGGCGGAGAGGGGCGGTGCGGGGCCGGAGCGGGGGCGGAGCGGGGCGGGACGGTGCGGAGCGGGGGTGGAGGCGGGGGGGGCGGGGTAAAAAGAGGAGGGGACGGAGCGGGGGAGCCGGGGCGGGGCGGAGCGGGGTGGAGCGGGGCGGGGCGGGGGTAAAAAAGAGGAGGGAGGAGCGGGGCGGAGGGGTGGAGCGGGACGGGCGGGCAGCAGCAGAACAGGTGCGAAGGCGGGATTGGGGCGGGGCGGGTGGAGCGGCCGGCGGGCTCGCATGCAATTAGCGCGCGGGCCGCGGCCGCGGGGGCGGCGCGGGCGACGCGGGCCGTGTGGGGCGGCGGGGGCGGCTGCGTTCGCCTGTTCCGCCGAACCACCCGCACTGCGCCGTCTGCCGTGTAATCAGCGGCGCGCCCTCAAAGGAAACGCGCGGCTGCGCTTGCCTGGCGGCCCGGCCCGGCGGCAGGGTCAGGGGCCGCGGGCGAGCAGAGCGCTGGGGGAGGGGAGGGCAATGTGAGTGGCGGAGGAGAAGGTGGGGAGGAATGGCGTGGCAGTGGGTTCGGCTGCGGGTCAGAAGCGTGGGAGGCTGCAGATGTCGGAGAGCAGTTAGAGCGAAAGAAGGAAGGCTGCAGAGGCAGGGCAGAGGACGCGGTGGAGGCGATGGGGACACAACCGGGAGAGGTGAATCCGGGCATTAACTGTCACTGCACTTCCTTTGTGTGGGAGGTCCTAGGTTGGAGACCCGATGGTGGCAGGATTTTTGGCACTAGCTTGTCCACTACGTTGAATTTAGTTGCTGTCTGGAGGAGCATTCTCGCGGCTGCTCTGATCGATTCTTTTCCATGGTTTCCCCCGGCTGGAGCGATGACCCGCTGGTGCGAGATACCTGGTTGGGGGATTCCCTGGTGGCCGATGTTACCACCTCCTGTGGGAAAACGTATATCACACTAACGGGACTAATGACCCTATCAGTTGACGTGCTCGTCATCACTAACAACCAATCAGCGATGGGGTCATCGTGGCGTTGGAGGCTGCAGGTGTTACGAGGCAGCGACGGCGAGAGAGCTGGAGCGGCGTGGCTGTGAGACGAAGAGGGGCTGGGTGGAGAGCGGGGCAGGCGAGGCGACAGTGGTTCGACCGTTTCGCCACGAGCGGCGTTGGTGGCGAGAGGAGCAGCAAAAGCGAGGAAGGGGGGGGGAGGGGGCAGTGACGGCCGTGGGGGATCCTCAATAGCGTTGGCCGGAACGCCAGCGACAGCAGGAGCGACGAGTTCGTGGGGGCATCTGGGGGTTGACGCACGCTCGGGCGGGCGTGGCGCTGTGGGGGGCAGATGCGGCAGCGCAGAAGACGAGTGGGGCCCGCGGTGCGTGCGCGTGGAGCGCGGAGTCGTCGGCCGTGCGTAGCGACTGGCGCTGCGGTCGCCGGCGACAACCAGGAAGCGGCGCGTGCCGAGGGGGCGGGGCGAATGATGGCCCCGGAGGCGGCGAGGAAGGGCCGGAGAGCGCGACGCGAGCGACGGTGAAGGGAACAGGCGGCGTACTGCGGACGGACTCGGAAGTATTGCGGCTGCTGTGATTCTCCGGGCGTGGAGGCCGTGGTAGGACAAGGTACTGTAGCGCTGAGGGCATTTGACCGGCAAGTTTACCTGGAAGTAGTTGCGGCTGAAGAGGGAGGGTGACGGGACCACGTCCCTTATCCAAGTCAACAATTGTTTTGTAATTTTATTTAAAATAATTATCATATGATGGTTGAAAATATTCTTATTAATATACCTTTTCAAAATTTCAAGTTAACAAAACTATTTATGTGGGGTCTGCACTGAAAAATCTCCTCTTCCCAATATACATTCTGAATCTGTCTTAACCTTGAAGCAAAGGGACAGAAACTCAAAAGAGAATAGAGTCGTACGCTGCCTTACGAAGACGCGACGGTAACTCAGGGGCAAGCGAAAAACAGCGATCCACGCCGGCGTGAACGAATGTCTGTGGCAGCCTAGGACGAGGCCAAATGAAAGAAAAACAGAGGGGGTAAGAAGCTCACATTAAACCTAGTGATCCGAACAGCAACGCGTCCGTCTAGATGAAAGGGGAAGTAGTGGAAAGGAAGAAGGCGAATCGAGCCGTCTGGTGCGATCACAAAGCTGCACCGAGACACCGCCGTCAATAAGTTGCAGGTCGGGGCAGGCGGCACCGCTGGCGAGTGGCAGCGTGCTCAATGGCAAAGGCCGCGCCGTGGGCGGGCGTCGGTGTCAGGAGATGCCGCAGCGAAGGCCACTGAGTAAGCGCCGGCACCGGAGCCGCGACGCCCACTGCGACGCCGCGGCGGTCGCGGGCCGTGTAATTGGGTGGCGCTGCCGGCAGAGCGCGACGCGGCCTCCGCAATCGGACGCGCCGTGGCAGGGGAGGGGAAGGGGGTCTGGGGAAAGGGTGGGGGGAACGGAGGGGCAAAAGAGCGTCGCCCGGTCGCGAGTCCGCGCATTCCGCTTCCTGGTTTCTCCCGCGTCTCTCGCTCTCTTCGCTTTTGAGTCGTCGTGCTGCGACTGGTGTCGTGTGCGGTGGTATGGTCCTTCTCTGAAAAAGGGATGCCATTTGGTGTTTTTCTACCGAATACAATTTGTGATTGGTGAAATACTTTTGAGGATTCGTTTTGAGTTTTGTTTTCATTGCTTAGCTATGTACGTGATAACTGATATACAATAGTTGACGGCAAACATTTTATATTTACATCTCATGCTTTGTGATTATTTTCCGAATATTGATTACCTCATTTTCTTTTTCATTTCTGGTAACAATCAAACTTATATTCGTGTTTGCAATAGCGTACATATACAGCATTTACACACACTCACACACACACACACACACACACACACACACACAGATTGGTGGTTCTTTCTGCATTGTGTATAATAAAAATTCGAATTATTTTCACATGTATACTACACCTTTGACTTGTTCATTTTGAATTTGAATGTTTCGTATGTCGGCATTGGAAAACAAAGTTAATTCAATCAATTAGGATGCGCCCAAAACGTTCATTAACAGACCCTCGGGTTTCATTTACCTCTGTAAATGTAAATAACGAAACACGCTAAACGGTAATTAAAGTTTCTGATTCAACTTCTACAACGGTTAATGAATTAATAATGGTATGAATATCGGAAACTAAATACAGTAGAAACTAAATACAATTCTAAATAAAGTATTAAAGCTTCAACCAAATTTTTACTTAAATTGAATGTTGGTTTTAGGTGTTCATTATATTATACAATATATTTAATGAACATAATACATGAATCATTCCTATAAAAAATTAGCAGATTTAAGAACATATTTTTTCTTAATTTACCAAAATGGACAAAAATAGTTTGCGAAGACGTTAGATATCACAAGCTTTTAAAATATGAAATATTTTTTTCTATTGAAATGTGATACTAAAGCATTTTTTCGGCGAGTACATATTTTATCGTAGTGAAAGGAATTGCTAATTCACGAAACCTCTAGTGTTGTTTTCGGAAACCGATAGGAGTACTCTTGGGAACTTTGCTGCTGGTTTAATTAGTGAGAATGATTGCACAACAAGCCCGAAACAATCAGCGCTCACTTAAGCGCGTCATTATAACAACACTGTTTTCCACGCTTCAAAACGATGGTGCGCTGAGTAGGCACTCGTTTTATTTGATGCTGTTTTACACGAACTCAAATAAAATAGTATTGCCATGTTGTTTGGCGCGTGCATTTATGGTTTGGAACCTGCAATAATAGTCTGCCACAAAAATAAATTTAATGTGGTAATTTTGAAATTTTTATCACATTAAAGTATTTTATATTTTCACGTTTTTATGCCGTTCTACGCGAGAATGTGTAATATTAAATTATATTCTTCGGAAACTTATATTATAAATGCAACGTAATATACTATATTTTATTTTTCCTTTCCAATTATTCTTCCTGTTTCTTTTAAATATGTATGAAACGTATAACATTGCAGTCCATTTTCATTGTCCCTTTCTACAGTTTGTGATCAGTGTGGCTACCGTATTGTGTTGTCAGAGTGTTTTTCGTTTAACCCAGCCACCATTATTGCGTTCTGTCATCTTGCTTTCTCTCCGTTGGAATAAATCTGAGGCAGATTATGAAGTTTCTGGACTAATTTCTGAACCTTATGAATCCGAATTATTCTTAATAACTAGGTATTGCAGGTTTCAGAAAACGTCCATGTCTCTATATTCAGTTTCTTCCATTCAACTTCCTACGCACTTATGCCTTCGATAACCCTGAAATTTGTACTATCGATTATTGACTTGAAACTGATAATGTTCTCGAGTGTAGTAGCGTAGGAAAATTACCTCAAAACCGACTCAAAATTTGTTCTTTAAATTTATCGCAAGACAAGAGGAAAATGGGCTTATAAGTATGGATATATAGTTCATTTCTGTTACAATCTGAAATTTCGTGAATTGGAAAAGAAAATCTTTCACATTTCACCTACACCTTTATTACCTAAGCTAAAGTGCAATTGTTTCCTCAATATTAGCACTTTAAATTATGTCATGTACAAGATTTTTGAAAATACTAGTCGTTTTAGCATATTTTCGATTCTTATAACGACTTTTCAAGAATACATAAATAAGATTTTCTCAAAAACAGCTTATTGGTTTCTTTAAACTCTACGAATAAAGCACAATTCAGGAAATTACAATGCTTAAGCACTATATTTATTAAAACTTTCGAATAAATTCGGCTGCTACTTCTGAAATCTTGTGAAAATTCACATGCATGGGTAAATAGAAATCATCTTCCATTTTTTATAGTGGGATATTATTTTTATTAACCCATTTATAAAACTTTTGAGTTTTAAAAAAGTAATCGTTAGGATTTCAATCTAGGCTGCAACCCTACGTGGGAATACTTCCCCTTGGTAAAAGTACGCCAGTTTTAGATTTTAGGATTGGTAATGTTTGCCTCTGCAGCATTATTGACTGGGAAGTCCTAGGATTTGAGGCTCGACGGTGGCGGGTTTGCGACACTAGTTACTGCGCTGGGTAACTCGGACTCAACCACTGCCTGAAGAAGCATTCTAGCTAACGGCTGCTGTAATCGGTAGTTTTGGAAGTTTCTGGAGCAGTACTCTAACAAACGGAACAGATATCATTCGCGATATTTCCTTCCTCATCCTTGTCTCTTCCTGTCTCCTTACACAGACATCAAGTCACAGTGGGATGATGTACTTGGGGAAGATACCTGGATGGGAGAAACACCCACAAGCCGACGTGATCAACATCGGAACTCACATTGCAATGGGAGAGGAGACACCGCCACCTCCCGAGATAAAACATGCTCTACTTACTGGATTAATTGCCTAAATAGTTGTCCTCGTAATGATTACTGATTCCCTAAAGGTTAGAAAAGACGCACGAAATATATATGAATAGTAATATTAAAAGACCTTGTCTTCAAGAATAATAAACCAAAAGATATAGCTAAATTAAAAAAGCTGCGATTGAAGTGTTGTATTGTGTAACTATTACATGTAAAATACGAGAATGTATTTGCTGCAGTATCAGTCTTATTTTCTTGCATATCTTAGATCATTGTAGTTTGCAAATAACTTTCAATATCTACTGCTTATTAATGTTCAATGTAAACATACATATTTCCAAAAGACATGGAACCAATATTAATTTCGTTAATATTACTTTATTACTTTTTAAATGTAATTAATATCTGTATGTTTCTCTACTCCACATTTTCTACAAAGAATTACGTTTTTGAAAAAATAATCTACATTGCCACTGGTTGAATATTGCAACATCATTGTCAACATTCTTACTTCGTAGATCACATGTGAAAGTGTATCTGCATTTCATAAACACGTTTCCTACATCCAATCCAATTCCATGAAGTTACTCTGAGTTTATGGGCAATGTGTATCGACTTATTTGTGGAACTTTCTAGCCTCGTGTTTGCCGGCATGTGTTACCAATAACACACTTTCCGAGTGCGTTGGTTCAATTTAAATGTCGTCGCATAGTTCAGACTCAGAAACCCGAAACACTCCATCCCCTCGCCCGGCGAGGGCTAAGCGCGGGATTATACGAAGCGAAGTTCAGGAATCCCATATAAACCAATCATACGGTGGTTGAAACACTCTTCTGCGAGTCCCGTGCGGATGCAACACGCAAATTTAACATGTGATTTTAAACTTAGAGCATATGCTATTTGGTTGTCTAAATATTTCAAGTGCTTATCCCAGATTTGCCCTTGGAATGCAATGTAATATTCTCCTTCACTTCATTAAATAGGTTGAATTAAAAATGTGTGTGTGTGTGTGTGCGTTTTCTGTGATTCTCTATCGGCGTTG